TCCCCGGCGATCCCGCTCCGCTCATCTCTTGGCTCCGCAATCTCGTAGCCTTCTCTTCTTTGCGAGGTTGCGGGTATGGAAAACGATCAAGAGCAACAGAACAAAAGTTTTTTTTTATAACAAACAAAACAAAACGCTCATTCAACTACTACTAACTCGTACTCGTAACTAGTAATGGCTTGGGAGCGACAGGCGCGCGCAAGTTGCCGCATCCCTCTCGATCGCCTGATCTCGATGACTCGATCGACACAGACAGGTGCTTGTCTTTTCAAGTTATCGTGATCGTGACAGCTAGCGTAGTTAATTAATCTCCATCGAGATCCAGCCACCCATAGATCCACCTACCGATATAGCTCAGCGTTTCTTTGCATTGAGCGCGCTTGCTGGCTAGCTAGCTAGCTAATGCCGTGTCTAGCACGAACGCAAGAGTGTAGAGATGAGTATTGGGGACGGCACGCGCGCCTCCGCCGGGCGCCGGCGGCAGGTGAGGTATCCGCTGAGCCAGGCGTGCAAAGTCGTCGCGCAAGCCGCAAGATGAGCAACCCGCCCGGCCGAGATCCCAGTCTCACATTATTCGCCTTGTTTGTGTCGTCGGATCATCGCAGCTGTGATCGGCTAGCCCGTCTAATTAAGACAACGAAGGTACCTAGGCACCGTCACGTCGCTCTAACTGCAAATACCTCCTAAAACAACAAAGCTACGGATCCGCTAGCTTCTTCACGTATACTCCCTCCATCTCATAAAAAAAATATCACCCTCACTTTTCAAGAAATCAAACTTTTTACTTTGACCAAATATATATTAATATTTATGTTACATAATTAGTATTATTAGATTAGATGAATCGTCGAAATTTATTTGAAGATATAAATATTTTCATAAAAACTTATTTAAAGATACAAATATTGCTAATATCTTTTATAAACCTAGTCAAACTTAATAAATTTTGACCACCACGAATCCCATAATAATATTTTTTTGGGACATATACCCAATATAATATCAGCACTGCAAGGGTCCGGACATCCGGAGGGACGCCCGCGTCCGGATGCCCATGGCTGCCGTCCGTTTCTACGCCTGACGCTGCTGCTCCCAGGAAACTGAGCCCCCACTTCTCGCGCCCGTTGCCGAGCAGCACTCCATCCCTCCACTCCCCCACAAGCATGCATGGCGCCCAAGCAATTGCAGCAGGCGGTTGTGGCAGGGTGGGTCACATTGTAACATGTACAACATCCCGATCTACTTTTGAAATATTTAGATAAAACACATGTAACATGCGTACGAAACAACTGAAACATTGGCAACATGCGTCTGAAACACTTGCAAAACACTTGAAAACTCTTGAAAAAACCATTGCAAACATATGTAACATCCAGATAAAACACTTGCAACATACATGTGAAACATATGCAACATCCACACGAAATACTTACAACGAACGTCTGAAAAACAGATGAAGCATTTGGAACAAAAACTTGAAGCATACATGTATAGCCATTGCAACATGTGTAATATCACGATCTATTTTTGCAACATCAAGATGAAACACTTGAAACACAAGCTTGCAACATGCGCTGCGCAATGTCACCTTGCTTCTTGGACGAGGTACCCGAACAGCGTGGGCACACCGGCGAAGGAGAGCTCCGCGACGCCTAGGATTCCGTACGCTGAGGTCGAGGTCCCTGCCAGGGAATTTCGCGTTGATGAGTGCCCGGAGGAAGTCGTCGTTGTCGTCCTCCGCGCCGCCAAAGATGTCCGACTTGTCGACCATGCCGGCGTCGACGAGGTTCTGTAGAAGGAGTGGGCAAGGCGTGGTGGCAAACGTGACGCGCAACGGCGAGGCGGAGTGGGACGGGCGCTGACGAGGTTATGTAGGAGGAGTTGGCGTGATGTGGCGGCAGAAGCGGTGCCCAGCGGCGAGGCGGAGTGGGGCGGGAGTCCGATGCGGTGAAGCCGCGACGATCGAAAGCGGATGGGGATTTCGGTCGATTGGATTATGTTGCGGGGTAGAGATGGAGGAGAGAGTGTAGAGGGAATTCGCAGGCCGATTGCCTATTGGACCCGGTCGCTGCGCAGGCCCAGGAACAGGGGCGTCCGGATGCACACGCCCGGACGGACGCCCTAATCATAGCATTACCGATATAATATGCATGGATATAGAACCAAGTAGTAGCTGACGGTGGCCTGGTTTATGACATGACACAGGATCGGAAACGATTTTAAGTTGTTTCAATTCCTCTGAACAATAATTGGGTACTCTTGGGTTAAAAGATGGTACCCAAATCCGGTTCTGGGAAGATACTTGGTTAGGAAACCGACCGTTGAAAGCCCAATACCCAATCATGTTCAATATTGTTCTTAGAAAAGAAGCAAAGGTTGCACATGTATTAAGCGTAGTTCCTATTAATGTAGAGTTTAGAAGAGCATTGGTGGGAAGGAATCACATAGTAGCAAGGGTGGCTAATATTAATCTGCAACATGGTAATGATGTTTTCGTGTGGCGATTACAAAAATCAGGTTTGTTCACAGTAAACTCAATGTACAGTCACCTTGTTTGTAATGGGTTAAAAGTTTCACAAAATAGTTTGGCGGCTTAAGATACCTTTGAAGATTAAAATCTTTCTTTGGTTCTTTAAAAGAGGTGTTATCTTCACCAAGGATAATTTAGCAAGAAGGAATTGGAATGGAGATAGGTCATGCTGTTTTTTTAGCAAACCTGAAACCATTCAACATCTTTTCTTTCAATGTTCACATGCCATATTTTTGTGGAGATCAGTCCATACGGTACTAGGAATTAAACCACCTCGAAATACCCAAAACTTATTTAATGATCGGTATTCTTGGAAAGATAAAACTTATTTTCCGACCAGCCGAACAGGCTGCGACAGCGCGAAACATGAGCCGGGAGCTATACATACTAGGTACTAGCGGCTACGCCGGCCGGCAGGATCCTGCTGTGTTGTGGACGAGCAAGCTAGGGCGTCACCGGCCGGTGTCCTGCCGTACGAGGACCACGTACGGCCAGCGCCGTGGTGTGGTTTGGACCGACGCCTGGCGCCCCCTGCGCCTCCGCCTCGTCGCCCAAAGCGAGCCCGGCCCCCACGTAGAGTACTACTACAGATACAGAGAGGAGTACTACGTCTTGTTCTGAAAGCGACCCAACGACCTCCTCAGGCATCATAAACGCACGCCTAACACTATGCAATGCATGCACAACGATTTTTCGAGCATACATATCCTGCCCAAAAGATTTAACACATGCATGCATGGTCCACCGCATATAGTAATATTTTCCACAAACCCGGAAAAAAGAACGGGCCACATATATATATTTCAAATTTCTGCACGCACAAAGAGCCGCACCTGCTGGTCATAAATGTCTGCGTGCGTACGTACGCAGTCCCTACTATTCGATACTGCCCGGTTAGTTTCGCTAAAATTTGATTTATGTTGAACTAATTTGTTATGAGAGAAAAATATTATTTATTTATTAAAAATATTGTTGAAGTAGTTCAGAATAATAGAACGACTATGTACGCCGCATGTACGCGTGCGACGACAGCGATAGCGCTTTGGCCGGTGATTTCGCACGTTCCGTGTGTCTCTACTAGTAGACTTTAATTTGCTCTTGACCGACTTTAGCTAGCTAGTGTAAACACACGAACAGTAGGTGGATCCACAAATAGCTGGCAAGAAAAAGACTAGCTTGGGGGAGATTGACTTCAGAATACATGGATATGCACGTCCATTGACCTTAGTTTTGTTTGTTGGGTTATTATTTCTCACGCCTCTTGTTAGATTTATTAGTCTCATACCAAAGATCAATGGGGATGGAGAACCATCAATATATATGTGGGATAGCTCTCACGCACCCATCAGGCTAGTTTTTTTTTTAATTGAGATTAGGATTTCGTTCATAGTGGGATCTTGTATAGATGTGCATGCACCTGGTTTGGCACCTGCTCGTGAGTATAACCAGGTAGACCATATTTTCTACGAACTATAACAAGCAGTGCGACCATCATAGTAATGGTCAGGAAATTAAACCTGGAACGTCTCGTGGTCACAGGAGGTGATAGGTCAATCCTAGACGTGAGCTCTCATGTGTGACACACTCTAACATCTCCTATACACCATTAGTCATGAGATTTTTCATGTGACTGATGCCTATTGTTGTCGACAAGAAAGTTTGTGATAGGTTTAAAGGAGGAGGGTTTCCGTCTTCTCTAAGGATCTTCGGTGGTTAGCGCCAAGATGGCTGGGTGGTGTTTAGGAGGAGGGTTTTTTCGTCTTCTCTATAGATCGTCGATGACAGCGGTGGGATGACTAGAGGCTCGGTTGGAGGGGTCATTGATTGGGGGGCAACAAACTACTAGATGCATTCGATCGTGATGATCTAACAAGAAACATTACCTAATGTTTTGCTCATTTTCATGTGTATGTGGTCTAGCATTTTCATTATCAATTTACCAACTATTTAAACCCCCCTTTACAATATAAGAATTTTATGGGATTCACACAATAATTTCGCAAAAATAAATTTATTTTCTATAGAAAAGCGTACAATTTAGAAAATAAGTTTCACGTTGCAAAAAAGAATGTTAGTGATTTATTGTATACTTCCTCTGTCCCAATATAAATTAATTTTTAGCTATATATCTAGACAAGTGCTTGTGTATGTACATAGCTACTGGAACTTAATTTATTTTGAGACGAACCGGAGTATAGTTTATTGTTTGACCAACTCCTGTCACGTTCTCACCGTGGTGTGTTGTATTCGTATATCAAGTATATTCGGGTGGACAAGCAAAGTTTCCCATTCCCAACTCCCAACTTCCCCAGCTGCCAGTCTAAGGAGCCTCCCTGTTGGCAACAAAAGCAGGTAGCCGAGGTCCTAAATACAAATGTATCGCCGGCACTATAAAAGCAGAACCCTATATGCTAGTATGCTACTACCGGCAAGCAGTGCCGCACACCCACGCTGGCACTTGAGGTTGACAATGGACAACCTGCTCTCCCCGTGCTCCTCCTTTTCCCCGCCCTCGCCACCGTCCTTCTTCTCCCACGCCGGCCACCCAGTCATCGAGTTCGCCTCCTGTGAGGTCCCCGAGCAATGGCTGCTCGACGAGGTCGTCGTGGCCAAGAACGAGGGCTACGACGACGTGGACGACCTGTGGCCCGTGGGGAGCTCGCTCTCCCCGGACTCTGAGCTCACCGAGCAGCCGCTTCCTCCTCAGCCACCACCGCAGGCGGAGCTGAGCGTCAAGGCTCCGGCGCAGCAGCGCCCCGGGAAGCGGCGGGGGCGGAAGCCCGGCCCCCGCCCGGACGGCCCCACCGTCAGCCACGTGGAGGCCGAGCGCCAGCGCCGGGAGAAACTGAACCGCCGGTTCTGCGACCTCCGCGCCGCCGTGCCCACCGTGTCGCGCATGGACAAGGCCTCCCTGCTCGCGGACGCCGCCGCCTACATCGCGGAGCTGCGCGCCCGTATCGCGCGGCTCGAGGCCGAGTCGAGGCGGGCCGCCGCGGCGAGGTGGGAGCCCGTAGCCGCGGCCACCGCCTGCGGCGCTCATGAGGGACGACAGGGAGCCGGCGGCGCCGACGAGGTGGTGGAGGTGCGGATGCTGGGGCCCGACGCGGCCGCGGTGCGCGCGACGAGCGCGGCCCCGCACGCGCCCGCGCGGCTGATGAGCGCGCTCCGGTCGCTGGAGCTCCACGTGCAGCACGCCTGCGTGACCCGCGTGAACGGCATGACCGTGCAGGACGTCGTGGTTGACGTGGCAACCCCGATGCAGGACGACGACAATGGCCTCCGCGCCGCGCTGCTCCAGAGGATGCAGGACAGCGCGGCTACCTAGCTAGCTAGTGCTAGCCACTAGCCAGATCGTAGAGCTAGCTCACCAGCCGATCTCAACCAGTCGTCGTCTATCTCTCCGTACGTAACGTAACATCACTCGCGTCACGTACAAGCAGTGCGAAAATGTAGAGGGTAAAACGACGACGATGGACGATCGTGACGTACTAATCCATTGCATTGCGTGTGCTCTGGAATCTCGATGTTGTCTCTGCCTGTCCATGGAATAAAGTGTATGTTAGCTATGTAGCTACTATTGAAGGGGCTTGGATCCTGTGAACATCAACACATCTCATGATTCATTCAAATAGCCAAACATTGTTTCAAAAAAAATTTTGTTTCAAAAATTCAAATAGCCAAACAGGTTACCCAATAATGATTGGTCATGGTGTGCGTGTGTGTGTGTGTGTGTATATATATATATATATATATATATATATCCGTACGGTCTTATTTGGATGTAGTCGGATTCGCATCAATCCACATGTGTTGGGATAAATTGGAGTGGAACTTTTTCACTTCAACACATGTGGATCGAGGTGAATCCAATAACATCCAAACAAGTCAGAACGTGTCAACAACATGTGTACTAGACTGAATTAATTAATTTTATTGTTGTATGGTCTGTTAAAATTATTATAGCGTGTATACTACTACACGGATAGAAAGACACATCTGTTTTGCTGCCCATGTCAGCTTCATATACACGTACGTACGTGCTGGGAGCTTCTTCGTTTCTTCAATCAGAGCGGGATCTAGCTATGTTGATAAAGTAGTCTTCAGGTGCAGTTTAATTACTTATACCTTTGGAATCGACGGTAGATTTATTCTTGCTTTATCAATTTGCAAGCTGTACAGTAGTAGATCCGGTTTATTATCTGGGCCAAAAAGAAGCGTGTGTAGGCATTGTATATATCTACTATGCTATACTCTCCTTCATCATTCAAATATACATTTACTACGTCAGGGTGGAACCTGACTTTAGCCAATTGAGCTTAGCAGAATGTTCACCTAACTACCTGGGTTCAAGTCCTCGAGTTAACATAGATGTTCACATTTTGCTAGATTTATTCTAGGATTTAGATACACGGTAGACGATGTGCTCATGTGGGTGTGGGTGTCGACGTTTGCGCTGTGTCATTCACAAAAGAAAACAAGTTATTTGACGGTTCTGTAAAGACGCCCGTCTCCAAAAATCGTATTTTCAGAAACGATTGTCTTAACTGAACCGCCCCTAGAAATGACACGTTTCCAGAGGCGGTCTTTCTTAAGGGAACCGGTTATGAAGCTACAGTGCATCCTGCCACCAAGGTTAGAGGCGGCGTCCTTAGTCATCCGCTTCTGTTCGAAAAGAGAGGTGCCTGTAAAAATCATTTATGTACCCGTGTTAGAAGCTGACATTGCCTTATTAGGTCCCCGAGCAATGGCTGCTCGACGAGGTCGTCGTGGCCAAGAACGAGGGCTACGACGACGTGGACGACCTGTGGCCCGTGGGGAGCTCGCTCTCCCCGGACTCTGAGCTCACCGAGCAGCCGCTTCCTCCTCAGCCACCACCGCAGGCGGAGCTGAGCGTCAAGGCTCCGGCGCAGCAGCGCCCCGGGAAGCGGCGGGGGCGGAAGCCCGGCCCCCGCCCGGACGGCCCCACCGTCAGCCACGTGGAGGCCGAGCGCCAGCGCCGGGAGAAACTGAACCGCCGGTTCTGCGACCTCCGCGCCGCCGTGCCCACCGTGTCGCGCATGGACAAGGCCTCCCTGCTCGCGGACGCCGCCGCCTACATCGCGGAGCTGCGCGCCCGTATCGCGCGGCTCGAGGCCGAGTCGAGGCGGGCCGCCGCGGCGAGGTGGGAGCCCGTAGCCGCGGCCACCGCCTGCGGCGCTCATGAGGGACGACAGGGAGCCGGCGGCGCCGACGAGGTGGTGGAGGTGCGGATGCTGGGGCCCGACGCGGCCGCGGTGCGCGCGACGAGCGCGGCCCCGCACGCGCCCGCGCGGCTGATGAGCGCGCTCCGGTCGCTGGAGCTCCACGTGCAGCACGCCTGCGTGACCCGCGTGAACGGCATGACCGTGCAGGACGTCGTGGTTGACGTGGCAACCCCGATGCAGGACGACGACAATGGCCTCCGCGCCGCGCTGCTCCAGAGGATGCAGGACAGCGCGGCTACCTAGCTAGCTAGTGCTAGCCACTAGCCAGATCGTAGAGCTAGCTCACCAGCCGATCTCAACCAGTCGTCGTCTATCTCTCCGTACGTAACGTAACATCACTCGCGTCACGTACAAGCAGTGCGAAAATGTAGAGGGTAAAACGACGACGATGGACGATCGTGACGTACTAATCCATTGCATTGCGTGTGCTCTGGAATCTCGATGTTGTCTCTGCCTGTCCATGGAATAAAGTGTATGTTAGCTATGTAGCTACTATTGAAGGGGCTTGGATCCTGTGAACATCAACACATCTCATGATTCATTCAAATAGCCAAACATTGTTTCAAAAAAAATTTTGTTTCAAAAATTCAAATAGCCAAACAGGTTACCCAATAATGATTGGTCATGGTGTGTGTGTGTGTGTGTGTATATATATATATATATATATATATATATATATATATATATATATATATATATATATATATATATATATATATCCGTACGGTCTTATTTGGATGTAGTCGGATTCGCATCAATCCACATGTGTTGGGATAAATTGGAGTGGAACTTTTTCACTTCAACACATGTGGATCGAGGTGAATCCAATAACATCCAAACAAGTCAGAACGTGTCAACAACATGTGTACTAGACTGAATTAATTAATTTTATTGTTGTATGGTCTGTTAAAATTATTATAGCGTGTATACTACTACACGGATAGAAAGACACATCTGTTTTGCTGCCCATGTCAGCTTCATATACACGTACGTACGTGCTGGGAGCTTCTTCGTTTCTTCAATCAGAGCGGGATCTAGCTATGTTGATAAAGTAGTCTTCAGGTGCAGTTTAATTACTTATACCTTTGGAATCGACGGTAGATTTATTCTTGCTTTATCAATTTGCAAGCTGTACAGTAGTAGATCCGGTTTATTATCTGGGCCAAAAAGAAGCGTGTGTAGGCATTGTATATATCTACTATGCTATACTCTCCTTCATCATTCAAATATACATTTACTACGTCAGGGTGGAACCTGACTTTAGCCAATTGAGCTTAGCAGAATGTTCACCTAACTACCTGGGTTCAAGTCCTCGAGTTAACATAGATGTTCACATTTTGCTAGATTTATTCTAGGATTTAGATACACGGTAGACGATGTGCTCATGTGGGTGTGGGTGTCGACGTTTGCGCTGTGTCATTCACAAAAGAAAACAAGTTATTTGACGGTTCTGTAAAGACGCCCGTCTCCAAAAATCGTATTTTCAGAAACGATTGTCTTAACTGAACCGCCCCTAGAAATGACACGTTTCCAGAGGCGGTCTTTCTTAAGGGAACCGGTTATGAAGCTACAGTGCATCCTGCCACCAAGGTTAGAGGCGGCGTCCTTAGTCATCCGCTTCTGTTCGAAAAGAGAGGTGCCTGTAAAAATCATTTATGTACCCGTGTTAGAAGCTGACATTGCCTTATTTCCTTTTCAGACCTTCTCTTGCACTTTGCCGTGCATTTTCTTTTGTAGACAGATAAGTGAATCTACAACCTTAGCTTTTTTTTCTCCTCTGTGAGAGCTCAGTACTAACAATACAAATTTTAAGTTAGGCATTCCCAGCCCACCAACAAAGAAAAGCCTGTGGTTTTGGATCTTGGTCATATTATGAGTTTATGACTCATGACCACAATGTAGAAGTTCCTTGGGGATATAAGTTTTTTCATGAGAGATCTTGAGCTGTCATCTTTAGGCAAATGCCCTCATTTGAAAGCCTTCTTTTTTTTTTATAGAAAGTCTCCAATATTCAAGGCCTTCTATTGCATGGATTTCCAAGAAAGCAAAGTCATAGGAGTTTAGGTTTACTAGCAAACATGCCCGTGCGTTACACCGGGATTGTGATTTTGTTTTACTAAACCTCACACGGACGTGTGAGCTCTGTGGACACGTGAATTCATATGCATAAGATCATTATTATTTTCCTTTATTGATAGGGCTTGTTAAGTCTCTGAACGGTGTGCAATAATTCCGATATGATTTTTCAATATAGGTTCTACGTAGCACACTAGTCTCTTGAATAAGAGATCAGCTTCACATTGATTTGCAGTTTTTTAAACGCAACTTGATGATTTGTCTTTTGGTTTATACAAAAGCTACCACTGTTGTTTTCGTATTTATTAGGTGTAGTTATCAAGGTCCGAACTATAGACTGCCAATGAAAACAAGCTTGATACGTCCCCTTCAGTCTCCAAATCGTTGTATAGTAACATGTCAGCTGTGACGTTCACGAGCATAGTCCACAATATTATATAGCAATGGTTCTGTTCGCTTGTCTTATAATCCGTATTTTTTAGCTTATTTTTTTAGTCGGAACAATGTTTCTCTCATAACAAATTAGATGAAACAGTATTTCGGTTTGTTTTTTCAGCGAAGTGAAGAGGGCCAATAACATAAGCTAACGTCCACAATCTGTGTTTCTTACGTACGTTGGAGGACTTGTAGTACTCGGTGTCCGGCAGGAGGAGCTGAACAAGGTGTACGTACGTTGGAGGACTTGTAGTACTCGGTGTCCGGCAGGAGGAGCTGAACAAGGTGTACGTAGGTGTGCTTGGTAGAGCTCCAGATTTAGAAAAAAAAACTTCTATTATACTTTCCTCCGCTTGTGTTTACTTGTTAGTAATTTTTTTTACTGTAGCAAATTTGACCATCTATTTTTTTAAAAAAAAAATCTTAGATACTTCGATGTATATAACACTAACGAAGTATGTTCAATAAAGAATCATATATATGAAAACTTGATGTATCTAAAAAATTTTTTGCAAAAAAAACGTAAGGTCAAAATTGCTACAGTAAAAATTCGGTGACAAGTAAATGAAAACGGATGTAATAATTTTTACAGTGGAGCCGCTTTTCTTAACCAGTTTGTCTAGATGGAAAAACGTCCGGTAAAATAGCTCGTACTGGCGGTGGAAACAACGTGTCTGTAATGCCCTTTTATTTTTTATTTTTCTTTTATTTTTTTCTCTTTTTTTTTTTTATTTTGTCTTCCCTTATCTCTTAATTCTCTCTCCACTTTCTCTGGTACCTTCACGAATCACGACACAGCAACGCACGCCTTGGGCCTTGGCCTTATCCTTATCCTCTGCTCGATTTCTCGACTGCACGACGCACGCCATGGACAGAGCAGTTCCTCCGCTCGATTCTCCACCTTCGTACGCTCGGCGAGGCCAGCCCTGTGCCCCAGTCTGCGCCGAGCGCCGCCCCCCTCCCCAACGGCTTTCCGGCGCCCTCCGCCGCCACAACGAGGAGCAGCGCCGCCTCCGCTCCCCAACGGCCTCTCGGCGAGCCACAGCACGCACCGCCCCCCGACGTTAGCGTTTCTTGCTTCTCCCACCTCTGTTCCGTGACCTCGTAGGTTCGAAATTTCGACGAATTTCATGAAATTCGGTAATTTCGGTTGTGGCCGAAAGAAAACTTCGAAATTTTTTAATACACTAATACATATGTTATATAACTCTAACATAACTTTAATTTTATATTTTTCTATTATTTATATTGTATATTCTTCTATTTAATAGATATGTAGTCATAAATCATACTAATATTTGTTTAGATCCAAATTTTTTTTAGAAAAAACATACTTCATATGTTAATCTTAAAAAAAATTGACGAAATTTCAACCAAATTTTATGAAATTCGATAATTTCGGTGGTGGTCAAAATTTTAGCGATACCGAAATTAAAAAACTTTCAACCCAAGCCACAGAGAGGACCGAGGAGCACAGCCGCACTGGAGCCCGGAGGAGCCCCTCGCGTCCTTGCCGCCTCGCGCCCTCTATGGATTTCTGCGACCCCGGCAGGCGAGTCGCCTCGTTGAGCCGTCCCGATAGGCCGATACCCAGTTCTCCGGCTGCCTCGCGCCTGTTCTTGGCGCCACGCCGCGGGTTTCCGCGCGACCTTCTCCGAGCAGCTGCACGACGCCATGCCATCTCCTCTCCCCGTAGCCAAATCGCTCCCAGTCTCCCAGGTCGGTGTCGAGGCCCAGATCATACTGATTGTGAGTCGATTTTGTGCTCTGACTTTTTTGTTTATATTTATATATATGGTTGGTGCCTTTATTTTGGTACTCGTACGTGATTTTGTTTTGGACTCGATCTAAAATCTTGATTCAGTTTGCGTCGTTTGCTGGATACCATGTCCGTGTGGTGTGCGGGCTGGATTCTGGATAGCTATGCTCTTTGCCTTGCGTCGACACGGTGTCAACAATGGAAGGCGAACGACAGCAGTCTCCTTCGTGTCAATTTTTTCTGGCCTATTTTTTTCTTCTTCTTTGTTTCTGTTATATCTTCAGAACGTACTGTACATGAACTCCAGTTTCTTTTCTTCCCATCTCTGTTGCATCCGATTCATGTTGGATTCGGAAGCAATTTTTTATCTGATCTCCACCGGTCCTTATAAGAAGGTAGGGAGGCCAGACTTTATCTTCGGAACGTACTATACCTGAACTCCAGTTTCTTTTCTTCCCATCTCTGTTGCATCCGATTCATGTTGGATTCGGAAGAAATTTTTTACCTGATCTCCACCGGTCCTTATAAGAAGCTAGGGACGCTGACCAAAAAAAAATATGTACCAAAAAATATGCTGAAATTTTGCCACTTTAGTACCGGCTAGGGCACCTCAATCTCTGATGTGTGTTTTTTTTATATAAAATATTGGAACGTAAAAGCTTCTGTGTGCTTGAATTGGATGGATATGTGGTCGTTGATCGAGGAGCGACCTATTCTTAAGTAAGATAATTTATTTAATAGTAGTCTATTTACTAAGTTAGAATCTTTCACAAAGAGTTGTAATAATATCAAAGGATTAAATTTATTTAATAGTAGCTCTCACTTCGCTAGTGAAGCCAATTTTTTTTTTTTTCAGTTTCCACGAACAGTCTACCAAACTGGAGCTGAAGTGAATTTTAGTAAATCATTTGGCAAAAAGAGAGTTTTAATAAGGATCGGGAGAAGCCACTTTTTTTTGGCTCCATCCTACCCC